TAAGGTTCCTCCCCCATGAATGTGTCCTTTGTCCTGGGAGAGCAGAGGCTGCCTGGTGACCCTGCATGGTCTCTTCCCCGGCCAGGCCTCCCTGGCTGGTCCTGGCACTCCTCCAGGGCAGGGCCTGGCCTCTGGAGCCCGCCCCCGCCATACCCCGTCAAGCGCAGCTGGTGCGCCGCAGATGGGTGAGCAGCCCCGCTGTGTGCGTGTGCCCAGGAGCTGCAGTGCGACGTGTCAGTGGAGGAAGACAGCCGGCAGGAGTGGACCTTCACCCTGTACGACTTCGACAACAATGGCAAGGTCACCCGCGAGGTGAGTGTCACTATCACTGTTACGCCGCCCGGCACTTGTCACGGGGCCCTCGGGCCTGGAGGCCAGGCCCCGCCTCCCTCACATAGGTCTTGCTCCTAAGCAGGGGGTGGGGGTGGGGGGTGGGGGGGGGGGGGGTGGCAAGTGGGCCTCCTGGAGGTCTGGAGGAGTTGCCAGTGCATGGGGAGAGGTGATGGGAAGGGCTTGGGACCACCCCGGGCCACATCCCTGCTCAGCTGCCCTACCCAGGAGCTTGGGGCCTGGAGGGGGAGGTGCTACACAGTGGCCTCGTGAGCCTCCTGCAGGCGGGGCACCCTCTGCAGTCACAGCTCTGACTGCAGCCTCCACCCAAGCTCATCCTTCCCCGTCTGTGTGCCTGCCTCTCTGTCTGTCTGTCTCTCCCTCCCACACCCTGAGCTCCTCTTGCCCTTCCTCTGTGCCTGTGTCTTTGTCATTGGATCACCTGCTTTGCACTATTTTGGGGGACATGACTGGAACAAAACAGACAGTTCTCACTTTGTGTCTCTGACAGTCTGATGAGGGTGGCAGGTCCATATAGTCAGAGAACTGTGGCTGGGAGGTATTCAGTAAAGGAAATAAACAGGGTGGTACAAAAGAGACTGGCTGGAGTATCTGGGAAGGCTTCTCGGAGGAGGCAACATGAGAGCTGAAGTGTGCAGTGCATGGTGTGCAGAGCTGGGGAGAGAGTCTGGGTGGCAGCGGGATGGGAGCGCTCAGGGTGTTTAAGGAATTGAAGGGGACCAAGGAGGTGGCTGCTTCACAGGAGAGACGCAGCCGTGGCTGGGATCTAGGACCCAGGAGGGCCAGTCCTGCGGGGCCTTCAGGGCCTGTGGCAGCTGGATTTGACTCTCGGGGGAGGCCGTGGAGGGCTGGGGCCACTCCTTCTGCCTCCTTCTCTTTTTCCTCCCTGGTTACTCTTGGACATCCAGCTACCTCCCCCCTTTGCAGAAGGCCCTCATCTGCAGGGGCTGACAGCTGTGTGCGTCTGCACAGGGGTGCAAGCTTGGCATAGCTGGGCCCCATGCCCGCCTCTCATCCAGCTGATGGGGGCTCCAGGGTGTGTGCAGGGAGACGCTGGTGCGTTGCTGTCCTGGCTCCGGGCAGGAAGTGTTTCCTGTGCACCTGGCACTGGGGTGGAAGCCTGGGCACTAGCACGGGTCAGAGGGAGGAGCCATGACTGCCTTTCGGTCCTTCCGGACTCTGGCAGGCAAGTGACAGCATTCCGGCACCCTCTGCTCTAAGTCACAACAACAAAAGGAGTAGCTCTTGGCTCCTGCACCTGCGATGCAGAACGGGGCACCGACTTCAGGCATGGCTGGATCCAGACGCTCAGTGTCTTCACGTTTCCACTGGGCAGGGTCTCCCGCCAGCAGAAGTTCCAGATCTGAATCTCCCTGGCTGCCCAGGAATGCCCTGGCGCCTCCCTCTCGCTGCGCGTGCAGTGCTGGAAACCCCACCCCTTCGTCGCTGCCTTCTCCGTTCCTTCCTGGGTCAGAGATGCTGGGGAGCACACAGGGCTTTGCCCGTCACCTGGGAGACCTGCCAGAAACCTGCAGTGGATGCTGCCTGCTGCTTCTGCCCTCGTGCCCACCGTAACCACCCGGGGTAGGCCAGGAAGGGCGAGTGCAAGAAGCGAGGGTTTGCAAGGCAGGGGCCAGCCTGGCCGCCGACAAAGTATTCCCTGGGTGGTGTCGTCCTCCTGCCCAGGAGCCAGGAGGCTGGCGTGGGATGGAGGGAGGACTCAGCCTGTGTTTCCCCTGGTCTATTCTTAGCCCCAGAGCCACTCCTCAAATCTGCCACGCTTTCTGGCCATGGGCACGCCCGTTCCCGTGTGCCAGGCGCCTGGGCTCCTGCCCCTGAGCTGACTTTCCGACTTGGAAAAATGCCCCCGTTCATCCGTGGGACGTTCATCTGTGGCCACCCATTCCCGTGAGCCTGGCCCTGTGAAGTCACTGGGGTGACTTTCAGGTTGCAATTGCCAAAGCCTGCCTCCCACCAGGACAGCAGTCTGGGACCCCAGGCTCACCTGCGCAGCCTCTCTGTGGGCTTCCCAGGATCTGAGAGTCCGGGAGCCACTGGGGCTCTGCAGAGAAGTGCAGGGGACAGAAAGAAGGGAGCAGTGGCCTCTGTGGGCTTTGCCCGTGTTGCGGGGGTCACCCAGGAAGCCAGTGAGTGAGTGACAGGAGGCTGGGTCTCAAACTGGCAGCCCCACAATCACAGTCTGGTCCCCAGCTCTTCTGGTCTGGGTCTCCAGAGGATTTTGTTAAAAAGTAGTTTCCAGTGTCAAAGATGCTGACGGTCTCACGGAAGGTGCTGGATTTCTGGCTTCACTGGTGTGGCCATCAGCCTGTGCTGTCAGGCTGATGCTGTCAGGTGGCTGAGCTGGGTGGCGTCACCTCCCATGGGCAGGGCCAGGGCCACAGCAGCCCCGCCACTGCAGGTCTCCCCTCCACACCCTGCCTGTCCCTGCCACCTTAGCCCAAGGGGCTTAGGGGGCAGCAAGAAGAGCACACTGGGTCAGTGCCCATGGCATATCGCTGGGCAGATAATGGATGGGCGTAGGACCTGATGGAAAGAAAAACATCTTCTCCAGGGGTTTCCAATGTCAGACAAACGGCCTCAGCAGGTGCTCAGAGCAAGGGGAGGCCCAGTGAGGGGAGCCCTCCCCCTCCTCCCCGCACTCAGAAGCCTTTGCGACCTCACGGAACACAGTGTCTGCGGCCCCGAGAAGGGAGATCGGGTTGAACTAACTCTGGCGGGGTGGCTCCTCTTTCAGGGCTCAGCCTGCCGAGACGATGTCGGGGGGGGGGTTGGGGGTGGAAACAGCAGGCGTGTGTACCGGCAGGGCTCTGGAGATGGAGCTGCAGGCCGGGTCCCAGCCTGTGTGTCCCTGGGGAGGGCTCTCGTTCTGGCTGGTGGGGCGGCTGGGTCCCAGCCTGTGTGTCCCTGGGGAGGGCTCTCGTCCTGGCTGGTGGGCAGCTGGTCCCAGCCTGTGTGTCCCTGGGGAGGGCTCTCGTCCTGGCTGGTGGACAGCCGCCTTCTCACTGTGTCCTCATGTGGTGCAGAGAGGGCTGTGGTGTCTCTTCCTCTTCTAGGGTCACCAGCCTTAATGGATTAGCCCCCCTCTTCTGACCTTATTTAACCTTACTCCTCCGGACACCGCCACCTTGGGGCCTGGGGCTTCAACATGGGAATGGGCGGGGGCCGGCGGGGGAGGCTGGGCAGACACACAGTTAGTGCCTGCAGGGTGGTGGGGTTTCATGCACATGGCACTCCTCAGACCTGAAGCAGCTGCCCCGACGCCCCCACAGCCCACTCCCTGGACCTGCCCCGAGTTTTCCTGTCGCAGTGCGGGACAGTGCCCACTGTGAGAGCTTCCTTTGGGGCTGGGAGCTGCCTCAGCCTCTGCAGATCACCTGCAGGTACTGGGGATGTGACATCTTTAGGGCACCTCTCAGCCAATTCAAACTCCGTCCCCCCAGTCTGGATGAGACCATTTAAGGCAGCACCTCACTGCCCTCAGGGGGCCCCAGTGCCACGGAGCCCCAGCTGCCCGGCCCTGCCCCCTCTCCCCACTTCATCACTCCTGCTTCCTTGTTCTGCTCCCCAACAACCCGGGACACGAAGCTTCCTACCTCGCTCTGGGGTGGGAGGAGTACGGTGCGCTTTGGCTCAGCTTCGGCCGGCGCATGCGCGCTGTGGCTGACGCCCGGGGGTGCGGCTGCATCCCTCCCTCCCCACTCAGGACATCACCAGCTTGCTGCATACCATCTACGAGGTGGTCGACTCCTCCGTCAACCACTCCCCGGCGTCCAGCAAGACGCTGAGGGTGAAGCTCACCGTGGCCCCAGACGGCAGCCAGAGCAAGAGGAGCGTCCTTCTCCATCCCGCCGGTGAGGGGCTGCGGGAGGGGCGGGGCCTGCAGGGTGAGAGCCGGGAGCCTGGGGGCTTTTGGGATGAGTAGAGCTGCAGCGGACCCCAGATGGGGAAGAGAAGGGGGTTGCAGGCGCACCAAGCAGGGGCGTGGTGGTGGTGGGCAGGGGTGTGTGCCTGCGGCGACAGTGAAGGCTGAGGGGGGCGGGGCTGGGCCTGGGAGGCCAGCAACTGTGCGACCCCCTCCTCAGCCCCTTCCCTCCACCGAGCCTTCACAGAGCTGCGGGGGGCCACCTGGGCTGCGGCGGGGGAGGCCAGCAGCTCACCCGGGCCTTCTCCTACCTCTCAGAGCTGCAGAGCACCAGGCCGAGAGCGGAGACCAAGCCTGCCGAGGAGCTGCGCAGCTGGGAGAAGCAGCAGCGCGCCCCCCTCAGGTACGGGGCGGGGAGGCACTGGGCACACGCTGAACACCATGGGTTTGCCTGGAGCAGGAAGCTCCCAAGTGTGCTCTCTCCCGGGCAGGAGTCCAGGACGCCCGGCGTGCAGGCTCGGGCATCAGCTTCCGCGTCCGACACGGATGCTGCCTGGAGGCCCGCATCCCCCTATACAGGACCCTTTGGGCCAGGGGTGCTTTGGAGGGCAGCAGCTTCGGGACTGAGGAGGGGGGCAGGGCTGAGGAGGGGGCGGGACTCGGGCAGCACCTCCTGGGCAGCCTCAGACTAACCGGAGTTGTCAGGCTTTTTGGAGTTCAGGGTCGTGGGTAAGGCGGCAGCTACCTTCCACCTGTTGTTCTTTCTTTAACTGCAAGGGAGGGAGGGAAGGAGGGAAGCAGAGAGGCTGTGTAAGGAGAAACATTGAATAAATAGCAGGTGCAAGGCTGTGTTAGCACTTGGGGTGCAAACAGTAAGCAAGTAAGGAGTTGGGATGGGTGTTACCGGGAGGAGAGGGGAGGTCCTGGGAGCGGCAGGTGCAGTGTGGTGCGGACTGGGAATCTGCGGCGGACTGGGATGGGGGAGGAGCTGGGGTGTGCGGGAGGTCCTTGAAGGGAGCAACTCCAGGGAGGCTGGAGTCCCACAGGGGAGAAAGGAGGCCTGTGACAGCGCCTGCTTGCTGTACCCTTCACTCCATTCTCACACGTGTTCAGGTACACACACACACACACACACACACACACCTGCATACCCCTACACACTGCTGAGGCCCATGCTGGGCTTTGGGGCATGTCATGGAATCTGCCAGCCTCGATGCCAAGGGTTTAGGGGACGCCTCTGCCGTCTGCCCGTGCTCCCTGGGTGCTGGGAGTTAGGCACCCCCTGCCTGCAGTGCGCATGCTTGGTTTGAAGCCTGGCTGTGGGAGCCTCCCTAGGTTTGAATCCTCTTCTATTTGCTTTGGTCCTGGGCCACTCCTGCTCAGCGCCCAGAGAGGCTGGGCACTGGGCTCTGCCTCTGTTTACAAAGGAGGAAGTGGAGGGGGCGCGGATGGCATCATGATCCCGCTGTCCCCTTCCCAAGCCACAGAGGGAGGTGGGTGGCCAGAGCCTCCTGCTCACTCGCTTGCCTCGCCCGCCCGCTGCAGGTTCCAGGGTGACAGCCGCTTGGAGCAGGCCGGCTGCTACCACCACTGCGTGGATGAGAACCTCGAGAGGAGAAACCACTACTTAGATCTCGCCGGCATAGAGAACTGCACGTCCCAGTTTGGGCCCGGTAAGGGTGCGGGGCGGGCGAGGGGAGGCTGTGGGCGGGGTCTGGGGGAGCACGTGGCTTCTGCGGACAGCGCCACCTCGAGGAGGGGACAGGAGAAATGCATTTAGATGTAAAGTTCTTTCTGCACTAAGTCAAACCAAATCCACTAATCATGATCTGTAAGGACGGAAGTTATGGCTCCCACGCCAGGCCCGTTGCCAGGGCAACCACACGACCCTCCCTTGGCTGTGTCCGGTGCCACCAGGCGCAGCGCTGCTCTGCCTGGGTGCGACTCTGTGGTCAGATTTCCACTGACGGGCTGCCAGTCACCTTAGCCAGGTGGCCGAGCTCCTGCCACTTAGCCTTTCTCAGCTCTCCCAGAAGAAGAGCTGCCGAAGACCAGGTCTTCCCACTTAGCACCTGGGAAGGTCCCCCTGCAAGAGTTTAGCTGTAAGGCAGCGAGAGGTGGCTGGGGTGGGAGGGTAGCTGTGACCCACAACGGCTGCCATCCGTCCTCCCTGGCGACTGGGGAGGGGCAGGCGTGGTTCCTGGGAAGCGGTGCTCACGAATGTCTGTTGCCTCCTAGGCTCCCCTTCAGTGGCCCAGAAGTCAGAACTACCCACCCGCACCTCCAACCCCGCTCGATCGCGCTCCCACGAGCCGGAAGCCATCCACGTCACACACCGAAAGCCCCAAGGCGCAGACCCGGGCTCCTGCCACCTCCTTGACACCCCCTTCGCCAAGGTCTCGGAGCTCCAGCAGCGGCTCCGGGGCGCCCAGGACGGGAGCAAGCACTTTGTGAGGTCCCCCAAGGCCCAGGGCAAGAGCGTAGGTGTGGGCCACGTGGCCAGAGGGCCGAGAAGCAAGCCCCCTCTGGGACCTGCCGTCCCCGCGGGGTCCCCCTCCGCCCACCTGGCCGCCAGCCCGGCTCTCCTCCCCACCCTGGCGCCCCTTGGGTCCAAGAAGCACAAGCACCGAGCCAAGGAGGGCCAGCAGGGCTGCCGGGGCCTGCAGGCCCCGCTGGCCGCAGGCAGCACCGTTCTGGGGCGGGAGCACGCCAGGGAGCTGCCCACCGTGCTGGTGTATGAGAGCCAGGCCGGGCAGGCGGTCCAGAGACACGAGCACCACCATCACCACGAACACCACCACCACTACCACCACTTCTACCAGACATAGAGCCCTGCCCCGCCCCGCCCCGCCCCTGGCACCTGCCGCCCCCCCAAGGCATTATTATTCTATTAATTATTGTTATTATGACGGTTATTGTTATTAATAATTATTGTTACTCCACTAATATTTAGCTAGCCTTCATGTAGAAGATATATGGAAACACAGAACTAAACTTTTATTTATATGTCGTGGGGACTGCATAACTCACCCAAGAAATGACTCTGGGCTTGGAAGTGGCCTGGAGGGGGCAGAGGCCCCCAGGCTGCAGTGCCCACATGGATCGCCTCCCACCCCTGCCAGCACCACGGGAGCCCTGGCCAAAACTCTGCCCCATCCGGACACCCTTACCTGGCCTGGCTTCCAGAGACCCTTGAAGTCTCCGAGAAGAGAAACAGCTGCTACCTCTTAGTATTATTCTGATTTTATTTTGCCCTTACCTGATTGTAACGTGCTACAAGGGATTTCAACGGACTGCAGATGCGCGGCCTCCTTGCTGTTGTGTTTTTATTACGTCCCAACCTAGCAACCTTCGCTGTCCTTTCTAGAGTATCTTTCATGCCTTTCCAGTGGGCTCATGCCCGAACCAGCCCCGTCTTCTCGGCCGTGCACAACACGGGGCTACTTCCCCCCACCCCACCCCCACCCTGCACTCCCATTTAGAAAGACACACGCACATATTTCCAGTGTCCCTAAAACCAGCCTTCTCCTTTGGGAAATCGCTAGAGAGAGAAGCAACCACATAAAGCAGTTTGGTTTTGCAGCATTGGGCAGTGGTGTGTCGGTTGTGATGGAGGACGGGGAGCCTGGTGTGTTCCTGTTGGCAGTCAGACTTGTATCTAGCCCGTGCTCGCCCAGCGTTCTGCATCTCTAGGTAGATGCCCGCTGTCCATTCCTGTGTATCTTCCTATAAATATACACTCTCAGGTATCTTTTCTGGTGTGCAGAAATCAGTGCTGTGCTGCTCTGGTCCCTTCCTGGCCTCTTCTTGGGCCAGATGGTCACCAAGGGCCAAAAGCTGCTTGCCGCTCACCAGAGCTCCTTTTCTTTCTTGAGGGCTGAGATCCAGCAGGTGTTGGGAGCAGCCTGGGAGGGAAAGGGGGACAGTGCCAGCGTTGGGGTCCTGGTGCAGTGTCCTCTGTCTGGCCTGACCTGGGGAGGCCAGGGAAGGGACCACTGCGTCACAGTTGGGGTCCTCATGAAAAATGGGTTGCACGTGCACGTTGGGTACTTTGAAGTGAGTTTAATAAAGGGAATACTGACAAAGTGGGGCAGAGGGAACGCAGACTCCTGGGCTGGCGTTGTGGGGGTCCTCAGGGGCAAGGGGGGAGGTTCTGCAGCAGGTGGGGCCAGGGTGTGGGGAAGACCCCAAAAGGAGCTGGGCCCTTGAGGGATGCAGCCAGCCATGGGAACCCTGTAGGGAGATGGATATCGTGTCTCCACTCTCCTCACTCTGAAGGCACTGGGCACCAGAGGCCAGGGCAGCTTGTTGCGGGGGATGGGGCGGTGGGGAGGGGGTGATGGTGGAGCACGGAGGTGCAGGGACCGCGGAAGGAAACGCAGTTCCAACCGCCTTTCTGTTGCTTTGTCGCCCGACCCGGATCCTCTTCTCCGGAGTCTTGAATATGCTTGGTAAGGAGTTATTTCCAAAGGAAAGGCGCTTCCTTGTCACGGTGTTACTCCTCCTACTCATTACTGGGGCGCCTAACCTTGGCAGGTGGTGGGAGCCCATCTGCGGCTCAGAGAGGTGAAGTGATTTGCTTGGGACCGCACAGCAGGGAGATAGGGCTGGCATTGTGGTGTCCCTGCCGTCCGGCAGCCACTGGTGGGGGGCTCAGCCGCTGCCGCCTGGCCCCCCCCCCCTTGTTGGGGTTGTGGCTGAAGGCAGGAGGGGGCTGGCTTTGAGGATCCGGGATCTGAATGAAGGTCCTTGGGCCTCTCTCTCTCTCTCTCTCTCTCTCTCTCTCTCGGGAGCAGTAAGTGTACCCCCTGCTTTCTTAGGGTCAGGATCTCTGCGGCTGTCACTCTTGGACAAACTACTGAAGGAAATGGATCTTCCCTGAGGGCAAAGCCCATGGGTGGATTCTGATTGGCTGGGCTCAGAGCAGGGACGCATCTCTGGACCAATCATCATGGCCCATCTGGGGTCACATGCCTGTGTGCAGCAGGGGGCGGGGTTTGCATCGGAGGACAATGGCGCAGTCTCCACACTGGTCAGGATTCTGTTGTTTCCTGGGAACTAACGCGCCGGCTGTGTGGCATGGCAGGGTAAACCTTTGCCTGTATCGCCAGCATGCCAATTGGAGTCCCGGCTGCTCCACTTCCGGTCCGGCTCCCTGCTGATAGCCTGGAAAAGCAGTGGAAGATGGCCCAAGGTCTGGGCCCCCTCCCCCCCACCCCGCACTCACGCGGGAGACCCGGATGAAGCTCCTGGCCCCTAGTTTCGGCCTGATTTCCATGAACATTTGGGGAGTGAACCAGCAGGTGGGAGGTCTCTGTGTTTCTCCCTCTCTGTGTAACGCTTTCCAAAAAAAAAAAAAAAAAGTAAGCTGTGCGCTTGGACAGGTGCAAATACACTAAGAACATTTGTGGGAAGTTGGAATTAAAAGATAAGTTTATGTTGGTACAAAGTAAATTTCCTTCCGGCCTGGGACCTTTTAAGCACCCGCATACCTGGGAGCACTCCCGCTTCCTCTCTGAATCTGTGCTGTTCAGGTGAAATTGGGTGCCTTGGCTTCGCCCTGTGAACCCGGCTGCCTGGCGGTGGGGGCGCTGTCCCAGGCTGGCTGGCGCTTCTTCCCAGGAACTGTCTCCTTTACACTTCACACTTTGTTGAATTTTTTTTTTTAAAGATTTTATGTATTTATTTGAGAGGCAGAGCCTACTGCACCACAGCGCCGGCCCTTTGTTGAGTTTCGAACTATGACAAACACCGAGTTAGAACAAAATTGTGCCCCAGGCATTGTGAACTCCCCGTCCAGAACTCGGCATCTTTCAGACCTATTTTTAAGACACGAAACCCTGCAGTTAGCTTAATCTCCCACCACATACCCTTTTATTTTTACACGAGGAGTGCGGTATCCACATCACACCCTCTTTCCCTGCCGCCTCATCTATTTGGGGATCTTCCGTCCTGGGTCACAGAGCCCCGTCCTCTTCTCTAGCAGCTGCTTGGCCACCCATTGCTTAGAGGCCTGTCACAGGCCTGCCCCGTTCCCCACCCTGCATCCTGGCCTGGGGTCCTCGGCCTGGGCTGTAGCAGATGTGCTGCCCACTCCCTGAGGGTCCTCCTTTTTTTTTTTTTTTTTTTTTAGAGAAAGGTCTTCATCCACTGATTCACTCCCCAGATGGCCGCAATGGCCAGAGCTGAGCCAGACTGAAGCCAGGAGCCAGGAGCTTCTGTGGGTCTCCCATGTGGGTACAGGGGCCCAAGCACTTGGGCCATCTTCCACCGCTTTCTCAGGCCATTAGCAGGGAGCTGGATTGGAAGTGGAGCAGCTGGGACTCGAACCAGCGCCCATATGGGATGCTGGCACTGCAGGTGGCTGCTTTACCACTAAGCCACAATGCTGGCCCCTGAGGGTCCCTGTACCTGGCTTGTCGTCTCAGTGCCCACCACCAAGAGCCCTGGGGACAGAAAGTGACAGAAGAGGGCACCGTGAAACTCCAAGTTCAAGAGCAAGTGTGATTTTAGTGTTGATGCTATTACAACAACTATGCTATCTGGTTGTACCAGATAGACATGGGAAGAAGAAGAGGAAAGAGAAGAAGGAAGGAAGGAGAGGGCGGGAACAAGGGAAGGGAAGAAGGAAGGAAAGGTGAAAAAAGCCAACTAGAAGGTGGCGACCTTGTGCAGCTTTGAACATGTTTTCCCGCAGGCAGAGTTTGGCAGTGTTTGCAAATCTGACAGCCACCCCATGGGACAGTCACTACTGCACAGGGCTCCCCTCGGGCTGGGGAAGCTAGAGGGAGACAGGCCTGCGCTCGCTTGGCTGGTCACAGCAGGATGTCCCATTCCTGCTGATGTGTCCCTGAGTGTGCTGGGGACGCCTGGCGTGTGGGAGGCAGAGAGCCCAGGGAGGTCCCCTCCCAGGGAGCATGGCCTGAGCCTGGGGGCCTGAGGCACTTCACACCCAGCCATGCCAATTACACGTTCTGGCAAAGCAAACAGCCAGAAGCACTTTCTTTGGCTTCCTCCCCCTTTTTCCGCAGTGTTTAGATCTCAGATCATTACGGGGCGGGGGGAGGGGAAGCAGGCTCAGAGGCGGCAGGAGGAGGGGAAGGCTGCGTGTACCTCCACCCAGGGCCTGTCAGGCCGCGCCACTAACAACCCGGCTTCCGTGAGAGCTGTCAGCGCTCTTGGCACTGAAAGGTGACCCTGACAGTGCTCAGTGCCAGCCCCGCCTGCCACCCTCTCCTGCTCCTTGAAGACGGGGCTGTGGATGCCGGGCCTGCACGTCCCAGAGAAACCTCAAGGCAGCCTTGCCCTTGGCCAGTCCACCTGGGGCCCCGCCCTCCGGCCCTGCCTAACTTCCCTGGGCTCCCACCAGGAGGGCGGTGGGTATGGACTCATTCTCCATAGCAGATAGTGGCCCTGGGAGCAGCTGGCAGAGCCTGGCCATCGGGTGGGCATCCTTGTGCCTCCACCTTTCCCTGCAAAGCAGACGGATCCTGGTACACTTGGGCCCTGAACCTGGCTGAGACAAGAAGCTCCCTGCCCACACCCGAGACACCCTGGACGTGACCTTGGTGCAGACTGGCTTGTTGGCGGGAGGTGAGGGAGGAGGGGGAGCATTTCAGAATCGTCAGGGGAGAGTTTTAAAAGCACGGGACGTGGATCCCACCTGGGAAGAGGCTGGCTGGCTCGCTGGTCTGGGGTGCGGCCCAAGTGACTTCCTCCACAGCCCTGTTTTCACAGGATGGCCTCAGAGGGCCCCTTGGTGGGGATCGCCTAACTGCAGGGGCGGTGGGAATCTCCCGGAGAGTGTTAAATGCAGATACCCAGGCCCAGTCCCAGGAGCGGGTGGTGTTTGGTGACTCTGCGGGTGGGGTGCGGGAGTCTGTGCTTTTAGCAAGCTTCCCACCCCCTGAAAGTACCGTTGCAACTGAATCCCTAGGGAACCCCAATGGCCGGTGCCTTGACACAGCAGCACAGAAGCCAGCAGCCTCGCCTTCAGGACGTGCTCATTAGGGTGAGAGGGGAGGCAGAGAGAGCCCAGACCCCCACCAGGGGCCCCCCAAAACTCCCTGGCCCCAGTGGCCATGATTGCATGGCAGGGCAAGACTGGAGAGCTCAGTAACTGCCCCTGCACTACCCATCTCCCCACTGCTGTTGTGGAACTGCCGGCATCGAGAGAGCCCCACTTAGTGAGACGCTGAGCGTCTTCCAACCAGGGCGCTTCCCCAGCGACCCCTGGGGCCTGGAATTAGGAAGATGCCAGAGACTTCTAGAAAAGGTCCCTTCCCAACCTTGGGCTTGCTTGGGGTCGCGTGGTCAAGGACAGCCTTGGGGGATAGGGCGGGCTGCAACCAGCAGCTGT